AATGTAAACAACAATCAACGGTTAAATTTTGATATATGATTTATATGATTCTAGCGGCGAATTTCGAAGTTAAGCTCTTCATGAAAGTTGTAAAGCTTGTCATTATGAGCGTTTATATATTTTTTCTATATTTTTTTACACTTCTACATTAATTAAAAAACTATTAAAGAGTTTAGGTAAGTGAAAATATACTTAAAAGAAAAATGCGTTTTTATGTTTTGGATGTGACAATATGGTATGTATATACTTATTTATTATTATGTTTTTCATTTGATTACTTATTGGTTTAAAATATATTTTCCTTAACGGGTAACGGGTCAGGTCATATTACATGTTAATATTAACAGGTCGATTTCGGGTCGGGTTATTTTACTTGTTTATTTTAACGGGGTGTTACATGACACGACTCGTTAAGATATCAGGTATGACACGAACACGGAAAACACGACACGAATGCCAGGTCTACTTATATTGGCCTACGGGTTGGAAGATATTTATTTTGGCCTACGGGCCGGGTGATGTAGTGGCCTCTGGGTCGGATGATGTAGTGGCTTTGGTCGATTATGATACCATTACTTAGCACATTGTATATGATATATGTTTCATGAAAGGTTTTATGACATGCTAGGATTTTCAAAAAACCTATTACATATTATACTATTGAGTTTCCATAAAACTTTGGGGGTTAGTACGTTGTTGAATAACTGTTTTAGTATTATATATATCAACTTGGTCCACTCATGTTTGTTTTGCGCCCCCTCAAGACATAGGAACGAGGCATGATATGAGCTACGAGGCATTGCCCAACTAGTGATATCGTGCCATCCTTTCTCCTTTTGACATCATTTGTAATAACACTTTCTGTCACACCTTCCACTTGTATTCTGAATTAGATGTATACTCTGAACATGTCATGCATTATCACTATCTTTTTATTGATAACTGAATATTACCTTATATAGTTTTGTGCAAAATTTATATGCATGTTTCACATGTTCTCGGCATATGTATTCATTAAATGGCTTGCGTCACCCTCAGGTGTGGGCTAGCACGTGGTCATCCCGTTGTCATCCGAACATCGAGATCGAGGTGTGTCAGATTGGTATCAGAGCATACATAGGACTTCATTCCTCCATTTGGTAATCATAATCTTTCATTCTTCTAAATCTTGTTTGCCTATTATCAGGATCATGGATCTTACAAGTGGGAATGTACCTCGACGACCTCGTTCTAGTCTAATGGGAGGAATTCAGAATTAACCTCTGCTCTACAAAATGCTTTTCCTGGGAGTAGCAGGCCGAGTCGTACATATATGGAGATTGCTCATAGCCACGACGCTACAGAGCTTAATGTAGTTAGAGCCTGTAAGGAGGCCGATGATTGGCTAGAAAAGATGGAGGACACCTTATAGAGTATAAGATGCCCAACGTCTGAATGGGCGAATATTGCTGGTTACTTCCTTCAAGGGAACTCGAGGTATTGGTGGAAGTCAGTGATGGGTTATTGCCCACGTAATTCTTTGATGACTTGGGCTACATTTAGGAAACTTTTCACCTCACACTTTTTTAGCCCCGGTTATCAGCTGAGGAAAAGATAGGAATTCCTAGAGTTTCACCAGAGCAATCTGAGTATTACAAAGTTTGACAACACTTTTCGGTGCTTGTCGAGACACCACGAGGGAACCTATAGGAACCAGCGGGAGATGATGATTCAGTTACAGATTGCTATGAACTAAGGCATTTATGAGCTTTTGGCACCACAAAGATATGCCTCATACGAGGAGATGATTGAGGTAGCTTTGAGGGTCAAACAGACGAGGTGGAGCAGATTAAGCTAAAACCAGCCTCAAAGTCAGAACCAGACTCGGAACCAGAATCAGCGGGGTCGTGGATTTTGATCTTGGAGTATGAGGGAGCCTTCTACTTCTTCTTGTTCCTTCGGCCCTATACATTCTCAGTTGTTCAAGCGACAAGGCCAGGGTTCAGGATCATCTAGTGAAGGCTTAGGCAGTGAGTCGGTGAGGTGATCTTTCGGCCACTTTAATCCAGGTGCGGCTAATCCGACCGAGTCTTACAGGTGTGGCAGCTTTTGACACATAGCTCGTGATTGCGCTACTCTACGTTTATCTGATGGTTTTGCTTCCAGTTCAGGTTACAGTGGGAGTAATAGCCCTAGCACTTCAAATTACGGTGGGGGTAATTATTCAACTACTCAGATTTATGGTGGAAGTAACAATTATAGTACTTAGGTTTCTGCTTAGTGACAACTGCAGTTTTCTTGAACAGCGTCAGGCAGTTATGCTCAGGGGAATAGAGCAAGCCGTAACAGCTAGGGTCCTAGGACTCGACGCGGCTGTAACAGTGGTTCGGGATGTTAGGTCTATGAGTGTATCAACACCATAACTCAACAGGAGGTGGAGCAGGATCCCAGAATCATCGCTGGTACGTTACTTGTTTGTGGTAATTAGGGTCGTGTTCTGATTGGTTTAGGTGCCACCTATTCATTTATATCTTTACCATTTGCACGAGTTGTAAACGCACAACCTACATCGCTTTGATTTGATATGTTCATTCAATTGTCGAAGGGGAAATCTTGGAGGCCAATTTGATTCCCTTCAAACTTGTGGAGTTCGACGTCATTCTAGGAATGGATTGGCTATCTAGGTACAATGCCTATGTTAGATATAGAGAGAAATTCATGACCTTCGATTGGCCTGAATGACCAGTGATCATATTTCAGGGTGAGCGACGGATCCTCTAAAATAGTATTATTTCTACCATCCAGACAACGAAGTTGCTACGGGTTGTGAGGGATTCTTAGCTCACGTAGTCACACGGGATGAACTTTCTCTGTGTGCTGGAGATGTGCGAGTGATGAATGAATTCACCGATGTAACCTGCAAAGGAAATCGAATTCACCATTGATTTACTTCTAGGTACCAACCCCATTTCCTTGGCACTATACCAAATGACACCAGCTGAGTTGAGAAAATTAAAGATTAAACTTCAGGAGCTTGTGGATAAAGGCTACATCTAGCTTAGCATGTCTTCATAGGGCACTCCTGTATTGTTTGTCAGGAATAATGATGGGTCAATGAGACTTTACATCGACTACAAGCAACTGAATCGGGTGACAGTGAAGAACCGTTACTTTCTGCCTTGAATTGATGATCTGTTTGACCAACTGATGGGTGCTCAAGTGTTTTCTAAAATCGATCTTCATTTGGGTTACCACCAGTTGCTGATCCGAAATGAAGATGTACCAAAGACTACTTTCTGCATTAGGTATAGACATTATGAATTCCATGTCATACCTTTTGGGTTAACGAATGCAGCCACATTTTTCATGGATTTGATGAATAAAATTTTCATACCGTATCTAGATCGGTTTGTGATTGTGTTCATTGATAACATCCTGATATACTCTAAGAGTAATGCTGAGCACATGAAACATTTGAAGTTGGTGTTGGAGAGGTTGAGGAAACATTTGCTGTTTGCAAAGTTCAGTAAGTGTCAGTTTTGGCTAGACCATATCAGTTTCCTCGGACATATAGTTTCCGCTAAGGGAATTAGTGTAGACCCTCAGAAGATTTCTACAGTGTCTATGTGGGAGCAACTGAGGAACATTACTGAAGTGAGGAGTTTTTTGGGACTAGCTGGCTATTACCGATGTTTTATGCAGGATTTCTCAGCAATTGCCCTGGCTCTTACTAAGTTGACTTGGAAGAGGGTAAAATTTGAGTGGGATGAGAGTTGTGAATGAAGTTTTCATGAGCTTAAACAACGTCACTCATGCCCCTGTCCTTGCTTTTCCAGATGATGGTGGTGAGTTTGAAATTTATAGTGATGCATCATTGTCGGGATTAGGTTATGTTCTGATACAGTAAGGGAAAGTCATCGCCTATGCTTCCAAGCAACTCAATAATCACGAGAGAAACTACCATGCTCATGATTTAGAACTTGGAGTAGTAGTATTTGCTTTAAAATTCTAGCGACATTACTTATACGACGAGAAATGTCGCATCTTTACTGATCATAAGAGTTTGAAGTATGTCTTTACCCAGAAGAAACTAATGAATTTGAGGTAGAGAAGGTGGATGGAACTCATTAGTGACTACGATTACACTATTAAGTATCATCCTGGTCACAGAAACATCGTAGTAGACGCACTTATCCGGAAATCCTATGGATAGCTTGCCTTCATTTGAGCCATCTATGTTCCACTACTGTTTTTTCTTCGAGAAATCGACGTTACTGTGACACTAGATTCCCAGGAAGCCTTGTTAGCATGTTTCCAACTTAGGCCTGTTTTGGTGGATTTGGTTCGGGAAGCTCAAAAGCTCGACCAACAATGTGCAGACCTAAAGGAACAGGTGAGAAATGGTTCTAGCCGAGTTTTGAAAATCCGGAGAGATTGAGCCTTGGTGATGGGAAATAGGCTGTTTGTGCCTAAGGACAATAAAGTGGTGAATAAGGAAATTCTTGATGAAACTCACATATCGACATATGCCATGCATCCGGGAAGTACCAAATTGTATCACACTATTCGACCATTCTACTACTGGTATAAGATAAAACGGGATGTGGAGGTGTATTATTTGCCAGTAGGTGAAGGCAGACAGACAGAGACCTGAAGGGTTGATGCAGAATCTCCCTATACTAGCGTGGAAGTGGGAAGACATCACTATGGATTTCGTTTATGGTTTGCTGAGCACGCGGTCGAGGTTTGATAGCATTTGGGTGATTGTGGATCGGTTCACCAAGATTGCTCACTTCTTACATTTTCAAGAGACTTACACACTAAAGAAGTTGGCATAGTTATTCATAGATAATATTGTCAAACTCCACGGTGTACCCGTCACCATTATTTCAGACATATATCTAAGATTCATTTTCCGATTTTTGAGAGCTTTCAATAGAGCCATAAATACTCAGTTGTTGTATAGCACTGCCTATCATATCGATGGTCAATCTGAGAGGACAATTCAGACTTTAGAGGACATGTTGAGAGTGTTTGTTCTCCAGTGGAAGGGTAGTTGGGATAACTATTTGCCTCTGATCGAGTTTGCCTACAACAACAACAACTATCACTCCAGTATCGGCATGGCACCGTTCGAGGCACTGTATGGGAATGCATGCTGGACAACGTTGTGTTGGATGCAAGTTAGCGAACGGGTGTTAATGGGACCAGAAATTGTTAACACCACTAATACTAACATCCAGTTGATAAAGAGAAATATGAAGGCGGCACAAGATCGACAGAAGAACATCACAGACCGACATTCCAAGGATCGTGAGTATGAGATCAGTGACTTTGTCTTCCTGAAGTTATCTTCTTGGAAGGGTGTTGTTGGTTTTAGTAAGCGAAGAAATTTGAGTCCTAGATACGTCGGCCCCTATCGGATCACAGAGAGAATTAGTGCGGTTGTTTATAGATTGGAGCTACCACCAGAGTTGTCATAGATTCACGACGTATTCCATGTTTCCATGCTTTAAAAGTATGTATCATATCCTTCTCATGTTATTCAACCGAAACCGTTAGAAGTGAATCAGGATGTGAGTTATGTTGAGGAACCAGTGGCGATCATTGACCTACAAGATAAAACTATAAGGAACAAAGTCATCCTGTGGGTAAAAGTGTTATGGAGAAACCATGCAGTCGAGGAAGCGAAATGGGAAACAGAGGAATTAATGAGGTGCCAGTACTCGTATTTATTTATTTGATGTTGTAATTTCGAGGATGAAATTCTTTTAAGGGGGTAGATTGTGAAACCTCGTCCCGAATTTTGTATTCACATATTAACAGAGTATGAAATTTCCATATTTACCCCTTATCCTCTACCCCATCCGGATCCTTTTTTTGGATTTTCACCTAATTCTCATCATCTCTCTGCTTACCATGTGGCAGTTTTATATCTCCCTCTCTTTTTTTCTCTCTTTTCCCCCGAGACATTTTCTCTTTCTCAGCTCACTCTTTTTCTTTTTCAGACTATTCTCCCTCTCATTTCCTGGCAACACACACACCTACCCGCACACCCAAAGAACCACGACACCACCACCACCATCATTGAGTGGACCTTCTTTTTCTCTCCCTTATCTTTATGAAGCACCGAGACACCCAAACCTTTCCAGCCAGCCCCGAGGCTTTTGAGCCAAAATTCAGCCAGCTCTGGTCACCATATGACGTGATTGAGGTATGAATTATCTTCCTCTCGTCTTTATCTTTAATTTGGTAGCTAGATCGTCCCTTGGGGTTGTGAATCAACGTCGATCGGAGCTTGGGAAGCTCTGGTCTTCTCCTTCAACGAAATTGGGTCATACCTAACTCGATGCCCTAAATCGGGTTTTCTAGCCTAAAGCATCGAGCCGGGCTTTCAAGCCCAAAGCCTCTTTCGAACAAGGCTCTTGGGTCGTGCCAACCTAGGGCCTTCAGCCCATTGAACCGCAAGCCCAAAACCTAAGGCCTTTGGCAACTAAGTTCAAACCTAAAACCCAATTCCTTTGGGCTAGGTTACAAGCCCAATCCACTAAACCCAAAGCCTATTAGAACCCAAACCTAAAGCCCCATTGAACACAGACCCTTGGGTCGTGTGACTTAGGCTTTTAGTTTATTAAACCCTCGAACCAACCTTAGGCCCAAGCCCAAACCTGGTCCAACCCAGAACCTAGGCCATGAATAGGCGCCCACGAAAGGCTGCCAGTGCCAGTGCGTGGAGCACACGCACCGCCGACTTTTCCAGCCAACTTTCTGGCGATCCACGGCTGCACGTGCGACGGTGGGTGGGGGTACCTGAGGCCCCCTTATGTTTTTAGACGTCTTAAATCCGTTTATGACGTCCGTTTTCCGAAATTCAATCATTGTGATAGGTTTCTATTAATTGGACCTTTATGTGCTTAGGTGCGTTTATTAGCGATGATTCCGTTCTTCCTATTTCGCATGACTCTTTGACGACGGAGTATCTGTGAGTGGACCCCTTCTAAAATGCATGTTTTAATAGTAGAAATGCATACATGAAAAACATGATTTAATGGTTAGGTTTTATGAAACGTTTTATGAGTAAATTAGATTTACACTTTATGATTATCATGCTTTACTGAGACTATTTTGGTACCATACTGTATCGAATTTATGTTCTTTGTAGTATATATGATGGATGACTATATATTATTTATGAACATGTTTTTACACTCTTGGTAGTATATATGATGGATGACTATTTACTATGAAGATGTTTTGAGATATATGTACTTATATTGAAAAGATTATATTCAATGTTTTTGTGCTTATCTAATGGTCACTGTTTTGCCTATGTGAGATGATACTTATATTGGCTTACGGGTCAGGTGATGTAGGGGCCTACAGGTCAGGTGATGTAGGGCCCAACGGGTCGGAATATATTCATATATTTGGCCTACGGGTTGGGTGATGTAGTGGCTTCGGTCGATTATGATACCACTATTTAGCACATTATATATGATATATGTTTTATAAAAGGTTTTATGGCATGCTAGGATTTTCGGAAAAACTATTACATATTATACTATTGATTTTCCCTAAAATTTTGGGGGTTAGTACATTGTTGAATAACTGTTTTAGTATTATATATATCAACTTGGTCCACTCATGTTTGTTTTGTGCCCCCTCAGGACATAGGAACGAGGCATATGATTCGAGCTACGAGGCATTCCTTACCAGTGATATCGTGCCATCATATCTGCTTTTGACATCACTCGTAATAGCACTTTCTATCACATCTTCCACTTGTATTCTGAATTAGAAGTATACTCTGAACATGTCATGCATTATCACTATCTTTTTATTGACGACTGGATATTACATTATATAGTTTTTCTCAAAATTTATATGCATGTTTCACATGTTTTCGGCATATGCATTCATTAAATGGCTTGCGCCACCCTCGGATGTCGGCCAATGTGTGGCCATCCCGCTGTCCTCTGGACATCGGGATTGGGACATGTCATGTATGCTTATTGATGTCTTTTTGGACGTATGCATCTGCCCCTAGTTTATGTCCTTCGAATTTCTTCCTCGTTATTTATTTGACCTTTGAGTGATAACTTTATTGAAGTTTTTGCTTATGTTGCTTCAGCATAATAGTTAAAGTGTTGCTGTTTACTGCATTACAGATATGACATGGCTTGAAACCGTTGGCGTAAGGAGTCACGTATACCAAGACAGGTCCCATGCGACACAGCATTTGGATTCGTTGTATTGAATCGAGGGTTGCATCTAATAAACTCTTTGAAGGCAGTTGAATCAGCAGAAATCTGGAGGTCGCGACAGCGTAAGAGAGCAAGAGCACTTTACATCCAAATCCACCATCCTAAGAAGAGGACATGGAGATCTCTCATAATAACAAAGTCACCTTTCCATTACGACTTGGATTTCAATACTGCAGTTATTTGCACCATTCGCTTGTGAATCTCGATTCTTATTGCTTGCACTTATTGATTGATGTGCAGGTGCGTCAATATTAATTCATCGCGGGGTCATTGCTGCTAGCATATTTGTACAGTTTTGAATGTATAGCAGACCAAGATAAATACCTTACCTGTTAGTAAAGGGGTAATTAGTTAAGGTTGCAGAGATCTGAGTTCCGTATATTTGTATCAGTTGTTTTCCCAGAGAACATATATATATGTGTGTGTGTGTGTGTGTGTGTGTGTGTATGTATATAATTAAGTCATGTTAAATAGCTTTGTGGCTTGTGCACCGATCAATCTTTCCCCTTTTCGTGTTACATCAATGGTTGATCTGTTTATTATGATTCCCAAGACCGGTTTCTGCGTTTGTAGCTTCATCGCGTTTTACTCCTCCGTGCGTATGATACTTTACAACCAAGGGCAGAATCAGACTCTCATTTCCCCCTCCCTTTTGAGAACAGTAAAACGGCTCGTGTTAGAAACTCTAATCGTTTTCCCATCAAATGAAGTCTTTTCGGACATGTCGACCAAAAAAAAAAAAAAAAAGAAAGATGTTGTGTAATAAGTGAAGTCTTTCCAGAAGTTCCGACCAACTAAAAGAAAGGTGTAAAGGTGAAGCACGGGAAAAGTTGAGACTAAAATGCAGAAATTCCAAGTAAAGAAACGTTTTCACCAAGTTTGTTGAGTTCCCAAATTTTTAATACATGACGAAGCGACTAGTGCGGCTAAAGAAGAAACTGACTGGCCGTGAAGAATGGGGTATAAGTCCAAACTCAAACCAGATACAGCGTTAAAGCGCAACATGTATCGCAAGTTTCACTTTTATACATCTATGGCTTCAAACTTGAGATATAGTAAATTCGAGACCTAATATACAATCACCAAGTCAACCCAAAGTATTTATTAACATTTCGGTCAAACGTTCGGGAGAAAAAGGAGGGAATCTGCTTTCTTGCCAGAGATACATCCCTTTGTATCAGTAGCACTCATCATGTAACATGTAGACATAAAAAGATATATCTCTACAACACTCATCACGTGACTTGTAAACTCAAAGAGATATCTTTGTTGTAGGTCTCGAGGTGAAGGTATTTCAAGGTCCATAGTAAGTGCAAAGAAGGATATATTGTGGGTCTGATTTTGATTTCTTTGTGCCCCAAAATACATGCCAATAATATAATAAAAAATTATTTGCAAGACTCGTCCTAATACATGCAAGAAGAGATTCCAACTTATGACATTTGGAAATTTGCTTTGAAAACTACTATCATAGATCAAACTCATTTCTTCTGTTCTGAGTCCTGACCCATTTAATTTTTAATGCTTTCCAAAATAGAAAAAGGGCACATTGGTGCATATAAATACCCATAAATCTCCACATAACACATCCTTCATATTTTTAAGCTAGCTATCTTTGTTTAATATCTATAAATATAAGATCAATAGATCACCATGAGGTTTCTTAATGTTTTATTCACAGTTACAACAGTTGTATTTCTTATGAGCATGAACTTGCAAGAGGCTAGTGCAGGCAGGGTGTTGCATGATGAGAAAGAAAGCTTGATGAGGATGATGACGATGGGCAACTACATCGTGTTGGAGTCGAAGCAGAGGGCCGACTATCCTCCTCCCGGTGGATCTAATGGGAAGGTCCCTGCGAAGGATCTTGACGGTTCAACGATCAACCAAAGGAACTTTGCAGGCCACACAACTACTCCGCCTTCTCCACATGATGCATACCCTCATAATGCCGTGGCTAGATCACTACTCGGCGTGGCTACAGATCATTTAGTTGATTAACAATATCTACAGAAATCCCAACCTAATAAGATACATCTAATGTGAGTAGAAAATAGACGAATAAGTAGAGGGGAAAAACCCAAGTTTAATTTTTCACATTTATTTTCACTATGGCCGTACCTTTCCTTTATCCGTGTTTTCTGTTGTCTTTGTATTGCTTGTTACACACTCTACTTGAATAAGAAAACAGACGAATTCTCATACAACTATCGTATCTC